TTTGTGGTCGTTCTTGTGGTTGTGTGTTTGTTGTTGTGTGCTGTGGTTGAGGTCCGGCAGGGAACACTGGGCGTGGATGGTCGTGGTTGAGGTCGGGCAGGGAACGCTGGGCGCAGATGGTTGTGGTTGAGGTCCGGCAGGGAACGCTGGGCGCGGATGGTCGTGGTCGAGGCCCGGCAAGGAACACTGGGCGCGGATGGTCGTGGTCGAGGTCCGGCAGGGAACACTGGGCGTGGGAGGTTGTGGTTGATGTCCGGCAGGGAACACTGGACGTGGATGGTCGTTTTTGAGGTCCGATGGGGAACACTTGGGTCTGGAGCTCGCGGTTGAGGTCCGGCAGGGAACACTGGACGTGGATGGTCGTGGTTGAGGTCCGGCGGAGGAGGACGAGGAGGAAAAGAATGAGAAGGAGAAGGAGAAGGAAGGAGATGGGGCTGACATAAAATCTAACAACCCTCACCTGACAGGTGGGAAAAACTTCCCTGCTGTGGGAACCAGTTCGGCTTGAACATGCTTAATCCATGCGGTGTGTCCGCGAAAGCCGCAGCGTTGACCACAACACCTGACGAGGCGAATGTTTAACAAAAACACTCAGTGGTTGATCTGCCGTCAGAGATTCAGAATGCATTGTTTTACATTGCAATCTGAAGTGTTTCTCTTGTGTGTGTGTCTTCGTAGTCCTCCATGTCGAGGCTCTACCTGCTAGAGGATGAGAACTACAAGATGCCACCTATTTGGGTGTTATGATGGTGTGGCACCAGTGGGCGGTGGCACCAGTTTTTCCATGTTTTTTTTTTTGCGTGGGTTTTTCGCTGAAAGGAAGACCTGTTCAAGGGAAGGGATGAACACGAAGGGAAGAGAACCATGAAACAGATAGAGAGACCGAGTCCTTTGGACGCACACCTGGACGATTTTGTAAGACCGTGTCGTTTGTCGTTTTTTGCTGTGCCGGCTGTGGTATAGGGTATTTTTTGGTACAAAGGAATTTGGAGAGCAATCAGCAACCCGACCAAACAAAAATGGTTTGTCTCAAGCAAGGATGAAACTTTGGAAATAGCTACAGCACCATGTGATAGTATTTTGAATATAGTATTAAACAAACACATGTAAAACATTAGTATTCGCATGTCCGTTTTCTCCGAAGCATGTTCAATCCCCTGCAAAACGAGAAGGAATAAGAACAATGATAACCCCCGATGACTCTTGTGGAAAACCCTTGACATGTGAGACGTGGTGTGAAGAAAACGCGTGCACACACAAACCGAAAACCTACTACTGTTCCAAATTGGGAGGGTTTGGACGGCTGTAGCCTTGTGCTAAAGCATTATTGTGCCACATGGTTTTCCAACTTGCACCAGGCATGAAAACGATAGCAAAACGATACCACAGCGAACCTAAACCACCTTTCCGTAGGCAGGCCACCACATGGGCGTAGTTTGAATGAAGTGTGCCTAATGTCTTCATGCCTGCAAGGTTCCACACCACATGCATGTAGTGCACACACTATATTATATACTACATATGTTGCAGTTAGTCAAAGCGCTGTAAAACGATAAGGAAGAAAACAACATAACGTCAAAAGTATAGGGAAAGGTAGAGGATGTTTTTTTTTACACAACCTCATGTCATATGTGTTTGAAATTTCCCTCAGGTATCCTCAGGTCTTTCCCTGAGTGGGACAAGCATCGGCAGACCCAACCGGACTCGTGTTTGGCGCGGTTCCTGAACAGGTCCCACCCCGAGCAAAAGCGCCGGGACTCGTTTGATGTTTGCTCAGGTTTAAGCTGAAGAACCGTGAGTTCGCTGTGGACGTGGATGCCTCGCAAGTGCAGTGCGGCATGAATGGGGCCATGTACTTCGTGGAGATGGATGCAGCCGGTGGCAAAGGCCTGGGGTCCAACAAGGCGCTGCGGCAAACAGTTCCGAAATCGGAGCATGGGCAACTGGTAGGAAAGGATGGAAAGGGCATGTAACACGAATTCCTGACATTTAGTGTGAACGAGGCGGAGAGGTTTGTTTTCCAAGTCTGAGAGTGGTCCAGATGCCGTCCTTATTTTAAGGTCACGCGACCTGGCTGATGTAACCAGGATCAATCCCAACATTTTGTCATCCTTCACGGTACTAATGGGTACTATGCTTGGAGAGATCCCGTCCTTTTTCTGCCTTGGTGAACTTGCGAACTCATTGGAAGTGCTCCGTTTGGTCTTTCTGCTCTTGGCGGTTGTTTCCCTAGCTAAGAAGAACCGTTCCCCGCTCCGGTCTGAGAGGTCTGACACATCACTGGGTGGTGATTGAGAGTATTGGTGCTATCTCCTTATTTGGGAAGTGTTATCTCAATCGACAAATGCTTAAGTCCAACATAGTTCAATCATACAGATAATGTGTAATGAAATCATCAGAGGACATTATGGAGCCTTGGGCCTTTGGTAGATCCATTCTCGTGATTCCTCGTGACAGAAAGCCAGGCCGGTGCAATGTATGGTACAGGCTACTGTCACTTGCATTGACTGAGATGATGGGTGGTCTTTGGGAGAGATGTGCAAATGATTGCAAAAGCAGCCTTCTGGATGCCTGAGTATCCGTGACATAATTGGGGGTATATATATAGTTTTTGTGATAGATAGCAAAGCAGATTAAGCTCAGACTGCACAACATATCATGGTCCATTGAGTTTGTGGAAGAACTAAGAACACGCACTTGCGCCTTTCTATCCTTTCAATCATTGACCTGTGTGTGCCCGCCACAAAAATCTGTAAAAGGCTGGGAAGACTTTGTTCCTCTTAGAAGAATCAAGACCGTGAAGCAGTGTGTTTTGCCCCCATGGTTCCGTTCACATGTCTTCCAACCCCCTTAAGGAAGCTCTACCATCCCGGACCCCCTTTCGAAACACTGTCGAACATGGTCCAACTGCCGTGTTCGTCACGGCGTCGAAACGGGTGAGGACCACCGGGTAGACCCCGCCTCGTCGACCGGCGAGGCGATGTTTCATCGCTCGCCCGCACGTCTCGTGAAGACCGATGCTCGTGGTACCTGGACCCTCAGGTGATGCCCAGTGCCCTCGGGATGTGAAGTTCATGTCGGGAAAGGCGAACCTCGACCGGAGCCATGGCTCCTGTTGCGCAGAGATGGAACCTGGGCAGGATTTGGAGACCCAATGCACCGTTGTAGGACCTAATATAGCTATAGTTTCTATAGCAGAGAAACCAAATGAGACAGAGTTGTTGTCAGTTCACTTCTTCTCGTGAGGTGTGGTTCTCGCGCGTGGGAGTTCGTTTGACCGTGGTGAAATTGTTGATGCTCTTTGCATTGTTGAATTAGACTGCTGCTTGTTTTAACGTAATGTTTTAATTGTACATCTTGTTTCTTTTGTTCTGTAATCGCATTGCATTTACCGCGCAAGCCTCTGAGGACATTTGGGAGGCCAACAACAAAGCCACCTCGTATACAGCGCACCCATGCAAGATCGATACTGCAGGTCCCTATATTTGTGAAGGAGTGGATTGTGCCGACAGCGGCAGCGGCAATGAGTTGAAAGGACTTTGCGACAAGGCAGCAGGGCCTAGGGCCAAAGCAGCAGGGCCTAGGGCCAGCAGTATAGATGTCATTTCACCTCACATGTGAAAAACGTGTTTCTCAGAATTGCAGGTCGGACTTGCAAGTCGTTCTGCAAGGATAAAGCAAGCCGTTGATAGCCAGTAATTAATATGTTCAGGTTCCTGTACCATATTTGAACTTCATTTGGCACCTTTGTCGAGTTGAGCGGAGACGAGCCAGGGGCAGAAAGGTGACCAGCTAACAATTGAACAAGCTGCATGATGTGCATGTGTTTTGTGAACTTGGAGTCATGTTCCAGACACGACAAATGGGACTCAATTGACCCCTAAACGCATCCGCCCACGCGGAACCTTGAAACTGCCCACACCCCAGGCTTAAAGGTCCCCTATAATGTAGGGATCTACATCCCTTCTCAGAAGATACTTGAACCCTCGAAGGCTAGGTAAAAGTGTCGAACAGATCACCCTCCAAGGCTAGGGTGGCAGTGGATCCAGAGGGTATCTTGACATCGGCCCTGAACAGCAACGACTGGACGCAGCGACGGTCCCACCCGACACGAGAAGCTCGCACAAGCCCGGCAGGCCGGGTGTGACATCAACCCCTTCCGCGATGGGGACACAGACTTTTGGGGCGAAGGAGAGGGCTTTGCCTCTTGGAAGCCTGGCGTCTGACAGCGAACCAAGAACCAAACAGGTATACTTTTTCTTCTGTACCTGAGGTGCACCTGACCTGTGTCATGAGCCCTTTGGAAAATGGGCCCTCAGTGCCTAATGACTTGTTTTTGGGGGTGGCAGTTCCCTGTCTCCAGGCTACACTAATGTCAATGGGCACAGTGACTGCGGACTGCAGTGACTGCAGACATCTGCAGACACTAAGAGGGTGTAGAATTGCCGTCCACGAATGGACGAACCGCACAGAAATACCAACCTTCCCCACGCGACGCAAGAAGGCCACGCGGCAGCGAATGCACCAGGATTCTCCTCGCCCACTTAGTCACCATGTCCCAGTTGATGCGGTTATTTAAGTGACGACCTTGGACTTCCGCGTGGAACTCCTGGCATTACTGCGAGGAGCAAGAAGCTACTAGGAACAAGGGCATCGCTAGTAGGAACAAGAAGCTACTAGCAATGTTGTGTCTATTTTCTTTTTGGATCCTGCCATCAGGGGTCACCTGACTGGGCAAACCAGGAGCGCAGGAATACAAACTCAAACACGTCTCCGGATCTAGGTATGTGTTGGATCATGCGTGATGATTTGCATGGCTGCATGGTCCAGACTCCAGGTAGAATCATCCTGGCATCATCCTGGCACTTGCAGGGCATCTCCAGATTTTGCGAGATATATTTCCCGAAGGGCTCCAATCACATCCTGACAAGTTAGACCCCCCTGGCACCCACCCCAATCACATTCTTTTCGGATGTGGGCCAGGAGCCATAGGGAATACCAGTTTCATGGGCATTTCACGGCATTTCCATGAAAACTCTCACCTCATCCATTGTCTTCAACCTGAACCCTCCAAAGTACCTTAGAAAATAGCATACGACTCTATAAAGACAGGTACGTGTGCTCATTTTACAGGTCGACTCCATGTACTGTGATTTCAGAGTAAATGACACAATCCCCAATGTCGGTGATTCATATGAACGTCCATATCAAAGACATCTTTGGGTGCAAGTGCCATCTAACCTCTGAAACCACTGTATATGCCCTAGGGCTCCTGGCCCATATCCTCAGGTTCGGTGGTTAGACCCCCCTGGCACCCACCCCAACCACCTTCTCCTCACGGAGGTAGGCCAGGAGCCCTCCAAGCTGTTCACTCACAGGTCCTGGATTCCTCCAAGCCGGTCACCGTGGTGACACAGTTCGTGACCGACGACGGCACCGACGCCGGCGACTTGGTGGAGATCCGGCGCTTCTACCTGCAGCTCGGTGAGGAGGCCTCAGCTACTGGGAGGGGATGCCATAGGTGATGGGCGTAGGAAAACCTGGTGTGTTCGCTTTTGTAAACTCTATAGTACGGTGTTTGTTATGTTTTTGTACGTATGTTTTTTTGTCAAAGTAAGGCAAGGTAGTGTCCGGTAGTGTCCTTTCCATCTATATAAGCAGTTTTACGCCTGCTTTGATGTGTGTTTGTTATGATATATGATATTTTGGTAGAGACCCAAAAAGCATCTTCAAACCGCTCGAATCCTTGTGGCGGCTGTCCGTGCTGCTTGTTGGATCTACTGATCTACTGTATATTCTTAGTGCTCTACTCTACTCTTTCTTGTTTCCCAACACTTTATGCTGAAATACTCTACAATACGTATATAAATGTATGTTCTGAACACCAACTCAAATTCCCGCGATACATACCTGCAGCCTGGAGCACCTATATGCCAAAATCTAGTCGTTTTAGATTGTTTGATCGACCATCAAAGAACTAAATCCAAAACCTGTCTGCCGGAGGGCACTCCAAGGATTCCAAAGTCTATTGAATAACAACACCAAAGTTGCGCCAAAAAGTTGAGCGTTTGCGTCATGTTGTTGATCGTTTGCGTTGTATTTTTGGTTGTTGTTTCAGGTGGTTCACACAACGGCGTTGTGTTTCTATAGTCGTTTGTGTTGTGTGTCTAATCGTTTGCATCATGTTTTTAAATGTTGTGTTGTGTTTTTCAAGCATTTGGGTGTCTCCAGCTCATTTCCGGTAAGGTTTCCACATAGGGAACGCAGTCCTTGATCTGTTTTTATCGTTTTAGCATGTTTTAGCCAAACACCAAAAAACAGAACACCAATGCCATGTGGCGTCTCAAAACTGATTGGCACTCAAAAAACTGTGATCATTTGGCGTTCCAGGTCCGTCACTTAGTGTAGATGAAACATCAAGTACTGCAACATCCCGGAACATGTTGTGCGTTTCGTTGTGCCAGAAACCTTCATGATTAAACTGCAACTGCCCAACATGGTGGGCTTGAGTTCCGCAGTATACTGCTATATGTGTGCGCGTGGCTGTTGCGCTGTGGCGCGCCGGGGTCCATCCTGAATCGCTGGGAATCGGAGATGGTTCTCGCTGATGGTTGGCCAAAGAACATACGGCGACATGCGGTTTTCCTTGGCGTGAACCAAGGCAAGATGGCAAAGTCATTGAAAGTCCTTCCATCGACATTGCTCCTGGCAGCCCTGCGTCCATGACCGACCAAATGTGCGATGAAGTCAAGAAGGTCTTTGAGAACCCGAATGACTTCAAAGCTAAGGGAGGGCTGAAGGCAGGCATCTTCTTGTTTTTTTTGTGGTGGTGGTTCTGGAAGATACAAGAAATCGGAGCCAAACCATTCCAGCACCGACTGCAAAGCCATGGAAAACCTCCCCAACCAGGCTAGAAAGGGGTGCAGTGCATGACATGAGAATCCTTGGCAGGCCATGGGAGAATCCTTGGGTCGTGGACACGTCGCCACATTCTCTCTCTGGGATGATGTGAGTGTTCGAATGATGTGGCTGGATTCCTGCTTCCCAACGGCCTCTCGACGGCTAGATCGCTTGTTTGTCATGCTGACACTGTGGCAGAGCAATTTCAGAGCAATTTGTGCAAGCATCATGATTTGATAGATTCTGATTGATGTTGACAGTATAACATCAGCATATATATATAATATATATATGCATGTATCTATATATATTTATATGCATGTTCAATTTTATGATATTTATGCAACCTTAGAATCACAACCAATGGCAGTTTATCTGGAAAACCAATTGCATACTTCTTTTGATACTTGCTTTTGATGCCAACCTTTGATGGCGAGCAAGGACCTGGACTGTTCGGCGCCCGGTGTGCATCGTGGTCCCTGCGCGGGCGGAGATCAGAGCGCTCCCGACTTCGTCCGAAGCCACTATGGCACAGGCTGGGTCTCCTATGCCAACGTGGCCTTCGGTGAGATTGGCACCACACAGCAGCAGTACCCAGGCTCACCACCTGCTCCGGCGCCCACCCCGCAGCCGCAGCCTCCAGCTCCAACGCCACCTCCAGCTCCCACACCTACACCAGCTCCAACGCCTGCTCCCACACCTACACCAGCTCCAAAGCCTGCTCCCAGACCTGTTCCAACACCATCAACGAGTTGTGCCTCAGAATGGCAACAGTGTGGTGGCCTTGATTTTGAGGGGCCAACCTGCTGCAGTGATGGACTTGCATGCATCATAAGCAACGAGTATTACTCCCAATGTCGCCCTGCAGATCACTCGAAGAATGCTGGCCAAGTAGCTAACAAGCATACAGATCACTCGAAGAGTGTTGGCCAAAAATCTCACAAGCAGAAGTTCTTGGGAGTCGTTGACATTTCGTTTCCTGGCAGAATCGTTCCCGGCCTAGAGTCGTGAGCCAACAATTCCTAAATGCATCAAAGGGTTGTCGTTGTCAATCATTGTTAGATACAGAACGATATGGAAGACATGTGTCTAGGAGTTGTTATTCGCAGCACACCAGTGGAACCAACGTCCAAGTGGAATGCTTCTCTTTTGCACCCCATGTTGCCTCACAAGAGTAGGTTTGGAGCAGGGAAACAGGTGGACACTGCCCTACTTGTCCTTGGATACCTTGGTGAAGCTTAAAACGAGTCGTCACAGAGAGGCCTCCCTAGCTGTGTCGCTCAGACAGAGCAGCCAAAGCGGACCAACGATGGAGACGATGCGGACCGACGGTGTCGATGGGGCGACCAAGATCTGATCGGATCTTGAAGAGTTTGATCGGTCTCATAACTCGCATGCCTTCCATATTCTGACTAACAGCATGAACTGACCACCCGAAAAGACGAGAAACATCCACTGGCCCCCAACCACTTGACTTGACCATTGAATCATCCGTGTTCGAAGAAGGCTGTTGAGGTTCTGCCAGCGCACCATGCGCCTTGAGGTTAGACGACGACGGGAGCTTGTTGCAACTGCCTGAGACGTGCGCATCGGAGACTCAGACGGTGCGTCAAGACGTCTCGACCGTGTTTTGACATGTTCGAAGAAATCGTGTTTTTCGCCGTGTTGTTTTCCGGGTACCAGGCACTTGGGGATATCCAGTGGGATATCCTGGATCGTTTTCTGCAGGTGGTCTATGGGATATTCACGAAAGCTAGCCTTAGCTAGCTGGAGTTGCTCTTGCTTTAGCAAGTTAAGTGACGGGGTGGACGCACCTCAGAAACCTCAAATAATTGATTAAATCAATCTTATGGACCCCCCCCCCCCGCGGTTCGACTCCCCCCTGCGCGCGGTGAGCGGGACCACCAAGCAGCTGCAGCACACCAAGCATCTGCAGCGCCCAGCGCAGCAGCGGCAGCAGCGGCAGCAGCAGCAGCAGCAGCACCAGCAGCAGCAGCAGACCACCCAGCGGCGGCAGCAGCAGCGGCAGCAGCATACCCAACGCCGCGGCAGCAGCAGCCGCAGCAGACCACCCAGCGCCAGCAGCAGCAGCAGCAGCAGACGACCCGGCGCCTGCAGAGCAGCAGCAGCACCAGCAGCAGCAGCACCAGCAGCAGACCACCGGAAGCCCGGCTAGCTTTCGTTCACCCCCTCTGGCCTCAAGTAGTCTATCCGCCGTATGTTCCTTCCAGAGTTTTCGAGTAAGTTGTATTGGCACATACCGTTCGAGTCGATGATCATGTAGGGTTTTACGGACCAACCACAAAAAAGGGCACGGACCATGGGGGTGATTTCTCATACCGGAGTAGTGATCGAAGACTTCCTGGTAAGGCCAAACAGCTTCCTTCCGGCCTTCGGTCTTGGAAGAGACAACACTTTGCACCCGAACTCATCATCCCTAGGGATCCAGTCGTACCGAACTTCAAAAGGTACTTGGACCCTCCTGGCACCCACTCCAAGCACCTTCTCAGAGGGTACGACTGGATCCTTAGGGCATGAGTACTGTTTGTTCTACTTTCCAACCACGCCTTCAAAAACCCACCGCTATGACCCGCTGATGGTCATGAACTTCCAAGCACAGAGTGAACAGTATACGGTCAACACTAAGCGGTCTACAAACAGTCACCACAGTCTTCTCTGTCAAACTCATATGCACCAATGATTGTTCAATTGTTCTGGCTTGGATCACCTACTATAGCTACTGAAGCGCCCAGCTAGTCACAACTTGTGTGGCGAGTAGTGGGAAGAAACAGGCCATTCTGGGGGCCTAAAAAAAACCCGAGACCACATTGACATGGCACTCCAAAGCTATAGAGATTATATGAGGAGACCCCGTTTACGCGGGGTAGTGTAGTTGGACCCTAACAGCAAGGGGGTGGTGTTTGAACCCATCCTGGTAAAGCCAAGACAGGCTCTCCTGAAAAGTTTGGACGCATCCCTCACGGCCTGAGGACTGATGCGATGTCCATCGATTTTCATCGTTTTTTCTTAGTGCTGCCTGGCTGCGCCGAATGGGCTGCGCCGGGGGTTCCTGAAAATGGCTTGAAGGAAAAAAGACCGTATGGATCCGTATGGTGGGAGATGGGATGGTTTAACCCCGTGGAGGACCGAAACTTTCGGCCCATGCGATGTCCTTTAGACGTAGCACGTCATAAGTCAGATTCACAGGATCTCACAGGTTTGGTTGCTGGACAGTAGTAGAACCTTGAATTGACGGACAGACTGATGGGCCTGCCCAAATCTCCATCAGAGAGTCACAGGCTCGGAATTGTTCCTTTGGACACGGGCTTATCCATTAGCAATGCATCACAGAGGTCAATCCTCCCGGAATTGGCTTGAACATGCTTGAACGATGGAGCTACACCCGGGAAAATAAACATGGAACCTGAACATGGACCTTTGGAAGACGATTTGCCTCTACAAACCAGTGGTTTTCAGGTTCCATTTTAATCTTCCAGACTGTAACTCTATTCACATCAGAAGTTGGACCTTCTGCCCCTAACCTGTGCGGCATGGGTCCCTGGGGTCCTTGGATTCTCAAGAGACGCTCCGTGGAGTCTCCCAACTGCACGTAGCCCGTAGCCCGAACATTGTGGGGGCCGGGAGCCTCTTGGGATCAGAGCCTGTTGGGAGCCTCTGGGTGTAGAATGCATTTACATCGCTGCAGCGGCGAATTCAAAGTGGTCATGGTCATGCGCGCCGACTGGGACACCACTCGGCTGGGACTACTCCAACCATTGACAATCTGATGTTCTCTTCTCACACTATAGGGTACCAACCGCTAGGATGGGTACTATCGGGTGGAACTGCGCAAACTGCGGAAACCAAGAGCGGGCAACCAAAACATGCCCCAAACCCGTCGGGTTTGAGGTGTCGGCTCGCTTGACTGGTTGGAGCCGTGCCAGGAGAAGTGCCCTGGTGTGATCAGCGGGATCCGCGAGTGGCCCGGACTCCCGGCGACGCGCAGAGGCGCTGAAACGACCAAGCAGGAGTCCGCGTGCTTGGCGTCCGCGTGCTTGGTCGTGGTGATGGGAGGTGATCTAAATCAGCTTGGGATTGGATGATGTTTGATGGATGTAGTACTGGATGATACTGGATGTATCTGAAGGTTGTTGCTTTTATAAGCTATATATGGTCATCTATCGTTTGCTGCGAGTTCGTTCTTCGCACCTCCCGACCACCGGTCATTACAGGTTCGCTTGGTGTGTTGGGGTTCCAGTTGGCTCAACCACCGGAGCTCTGGAGATCCGGTCTGGAGCGGAGGTAGTCGCCCATGGAGACAGAGGATGCACAGATGCACTCCGGATTCTCGATCTCAAAAATGAGACCGCGTCTCTCTTCTCTATATAAAGACTTTGTTAGACCAGAGCCTCAAAATCCCGCACAAAACCATCTCGGAACCCGCCAGCGTGCGAGGTTTCGATGGTACAAGACTCCCGATGGCAAGCCCCTGAACGCCTTCGGCTACGAGGCCTGGCCATGTGTCGCGCCCCATGTGGGTTCGTGGAGTTCGGACCATGCGTGTTCCCTACACCTCCAGTCGTACCTCCTCAGAAGCTACGACTGGAGGCCAAACGGCTTTGGCATGCCGCTGGGGGTTGGACCCTTTTCCAACCGAAGATCGATCCAATGGCTCCGAACCGGGATGACCGGTGGCACCGGAAGGTCCCAGTGGCGGTGCCGTCCTCACCGTTGGAGAACTCACCACACTCTCGCTCCGACCTGCCGGGCTTGAGAGGGGTTTCCTGGAGTCCAGGAACCACTTCAGGGGTGAATGTTTATCGTGTTATCGTTGTTCACGCAGTTCTAGTTTGTTGTTGTTGTTGTTGTTGTTGTTGTTGTTGTTGTTACATTGTTGTTGTTGTTGTTGTTGTGGTGGTGGTGGTGGTTGTGGTTGTTCTTTGTTTGGACCCATGACATAAAGAGGGTGCACAAAGATCACCAAGCAACAATGGTTTCATGTGCTTGGACAAGAAGTATGCATATGTTTTCCTTTTTAAAAAGCAGATAACTTGCCATTGTTGATGGGCAAGCTAAGAGTCATAATGATGTGCACTTTGACCTGCAGTTGTCTTTGGGGAAGAGGGGAATTCAAAGTAGTTTTTCATGTCCCTCAAGGGTTTTGATTGCTATTGCGGGGATACTTCGATACAAACCTGTCCAGCTTGATCACCGCAGGCCGGTCGAAGGAAGTGGTCAGTCGAAGAGGGCTCTTGAAAAGGAGACGATGGAAACATCAATGACAAGAGTGACAAGAGTAGATAAACTGGCTGTTGGATGTTTGATCTAGCTCCTCGTCTTATATATGTGCAATGTCCAGACATGAAGTGTTTTCATGTGTTTTGAGAGTCGAGACACCTGGACAATCTCCACCTCTTTTGCATGACTCAATGACTCTCACCTCGTTTGGGGACAGCGGGTCGCCGGCACAGGAGAAGGCGTTGGACAAGAAATTTGCTCTTGAGGCCCGTGGGTCTGCGTGGGATGTCGGTAGCTTTGGGTGTAGTCGTGGGTGGTCTAGGACTATACTCAGACTACCATGCGCAGGGCGGCGCAGATGAGCCACCAGAGGTGTGATGGCTGGTGGTGTCGTCCCCCATCCTGACGCTCGGTCGCCCGGTGCTTTCCCTCCACACCGAGCGACATAGCCTTGTGGGCCCTTTGGGGATGGAAAAAAAACACACACACATTGTCTGTGGAAAAAACGGACATGTCAAAACGATGGAACATGCTGAACAATGGAACCATGGTGTTTCCATATCAAAACACATGCAATGTTGATGTATGTTGGTCCTTTGGAAAACAGTATACACCCAACGTTCCCAGCCGGAAAGGAACCGTCCTTCGACTCGCTCCTCGCGACTTCCCGACTGGTCGTAGCCACCGAGTTGGTCTCCCAGGGTGCGGGATGGCGCTTCACCGATTCATGACCCAACCAATCGGACTTTCGGCCTCAAGCTTCGTTGTCCCCTGCGAAAGTCCAGTGATGGGGGGAAAAGAAGAACAACCATCATGGAAGCTGATGGAGCTGATGCGGAGATACTATCCAACATCCAGTGAACACTAAAATTTGGTTATAGCAACCCAGATCCATTGCTTGCTCCTGGTTCATGGAATGACACGGAAATGCTTCACAGTTGGACATGCGAACTTCGCGTCCCGTGATCCGTCGAACCAATCTGTACTGAGAGATCCTGTTTGATGCCTGGTTGGTCAATGTCCTTTGCGTTGCTTCTGCAAAAAGCAGAGAACTCAGGTGGGCCCTTGACCCATTGACTTTGTTCCCTACTGCGGTGACACAATAATCACAAGCACAAATACAGCCGCCACGAGGGCCAAGTTGTACCTGAAAATCATGGGTTTGGTGATGTTTGGTGGTCATGACCTCATGACGAATTATGCAGTGAAAACGTTGTGTACTTTGCCACTCCAATAAAGATGTGACAGAAGTGACACAGTTCAACCACTATGTGCCATGCCGCTATGTGTTGCATTTATACCGGGCCGGTTATTCAACACCTGCAACGACAACCCTGGCCCAGGCAGACACAGCAAGCAAGCAACAATCACCTTGAGCTGGACCAACTTGTTTAACCCTGACAAACAGGGCACCATGGATGGGGATTAGAAGACACCCTTCACAGAACTTCAGCTCGTCCACCTCGGTCACGACAGGTCATTGAGGAGACTCATGATGCCTGGAAGAAACTCCGCGATGGTAGCACCGACAAGGGAAAACTGTGGATTGGAAAGTGAGCGATAAACTAGTTCTTTGAATTGAACATGGTGATTAAGCATCTAGAGTCTTTGTTGTCTTTGTTATCGTTTATCTCATGAGGACCTGCAAATTTCAGTGCATGTACATATACTACAACCGTATATAACCGTTAAAGACCTAAAAAAAAGTGAACAATGATAGATTACAATGTTTCCCTATATGGACCTGAAATCTTAGTCCTTTGGTGCTTGAACGGGACACGCCTTGCAGCGGCAACCATATGTATAGAACGAGGAGAAGAACCGATGTATCGAATGCCTGGACGCAGGTGTTTCAATGCTAACTTGATACATTAAACCCAAAATAGATAGAGTCAAGTAGAACCCCACGTAGAAAATGTATTGGACACCATTTTGATTGTCTTTCTGTGTAAGGGGACCACGATATGTTATTTCATGTGTTTCATTCAAGTTATGCGAGTTATGGGAGTTTTTGAATGGAGCTTATCTTCCATCTTCGGGGTACACATGTTCACCGGCTGGGCATGTTCACATGTCCACACAGGGAATCGCCCAAAGGCTCCTCCTCCCTTCACCCGGCGAGCGGCGCTTGCTCCGCGCTCCGCTCCGGAATCCATGGCGACGTTCCAAACCCGGACTCAACTCGACTCGAGCCGACTCGCGCCTTCTCTTGTGTGGTGATTTTTGGAGTGATTTGGATGGCCCGCAACTGGGTGGAGCCCCCTGGCAATGAGGATTAAGATGGTTTTTGTGTGGGTTTTCCGGGTGACTCCCAGTCGTGTCGTCCGCATGATCAGCTCGAAGAAGCCAATCCATGTAGCGGGCCTGTGGGCCGTAGCACGACGTCGTGTCACCCTAGTGATCGACCGGTCGTTCCCCTGGTGCAAGTGGTTCAAAGAGACTGGTAACAGTCGACTGGCCATTGACCCCAAAGGAACGCAATAGAGACTCATATTCATGTTGCATTACGATTTCAGCATTCCACTGGTTCCATTCACAGGCCTATTGAGGAGTCACTCAGCTGTTGTAGACTCTGGGAACATGTCCAGATGTTGGCACCAACAGATTTGAGTTGCACATGAGGTCTGTCTACTACCCAGACACTCCGGTATATTTACCGGTTGATTTTAGGGTTATGTAATTTGCAGTTCTCTTCATTTCTGCAACCCAATACGGTGGTGCGAAATCCTGTCCTTCACGAAAAGTCCCTGGGACCGCTGAGAATCGGACATCTGAAAACCACAGGTCCCTGGAACAGAGGTTCCAACCTGTTTTTGTTTGCTTAGCAGGATCGTTGTTCCTGGGAAAACCTCCAAGACCCAGTCAACTTGATGCGGTCGATGCAGTCGATTCGGTCGATGTTTGGAAGCCTATTCCATGTGTCGATCGAATGGTGTCGGTCGAAGGTCCAGGGATGTCCGGTGATTCATGCGGCAGTGACGCATAGACAATTCCTGCGGGGAGGTTAAGATGCTTACCACACATGGATAGCGCAAGCATATTCAAATCATTTGCACCGTAAAGGCAGCAGGCTTCGAGATACTCTTCAGGGAGCCCCAACCCTCACATGAAGTTGATTGTACAGCCTTGCTTCGTATTTGCAGAACATCATTCCCCCTTTACTGTTCTGCCTACAATCAATTCTGTGTAAAGAGGCTTGAAGCGGCTTGAAGTGTCGTGTCTCTTGACCCAGAGCACCAGGGGCTAATCCCCGGTTTTGGCAGTTCTGTTTGGCCCAGCGAAAACTTCGGTGTGGCCTCTTCTCCGACCTCTGCTCCATCCCCGGTGCTTGAAGGAGGTCCACAGTTGGCTCGTGAAAATGAGGATCTCATGTGGAGGGGTTCGGCGAAATTTGGGAACAGGGAAGCACTAGAGGACGTTTGGTATCAGCTTTCAGGGAATCGTAGATAATGATAGATACTCAGAAGCAGCAGGCGGAAGAAAGTTGAAGCTTGTTTCTGGGGTCGCTCAGCTCTGCCAGCCAATGTTCTGTTTTGCCGGGGTTCTGGGGCTTTGGGCGGGACTGGTATTGGTGGAGGTATTGGTTGTGCACTCTCAAGGCGACCGACCTGATGCCAAACAGTTCCAAGAAGCCATCGAAGCCGTCCTCACGCGACTTTCAGGAAATCCGTAGTACAGAAACACCATCATCAGGTGGTGCGGACGCATTTCTCCAGATCGAGCGTCCTTCAGCTTCGACGGATAGACCGTTCAGTTCGTTCTGAGCAGATTGCTCACTACCAGGACAAACCTCCTCGCTGCCAAGGCAGTTTTCAGCCCCACTGCATGAGGTCTTCAAGGTCCTATGTGAAGACACCAGTTTATTTTATAGTGGATTGAGAGTAGATGGCACAGACCCAATGTCGGTGGTTTATATGAACCCCCATGTGAAGGACATCTTGAGGTGTGTGCCATCTACTCTGAAACCACTGTAATTCAGAGACCACCCGGTCAGGGGTCCATTGAGATACAAAGGTTGGTAGAGAGGCTCATTGCCATGGTCAGGGGTTTGGTTTACGGAAAGCATCACTTTCCTTGATTGTTGGAGGGGGAGTATTCCATACATCGACGGCTTGGGCTAAATGAGATCTTCCCAAGTTTCGGACCACACGCGACCAGTTCAAAGGTGTCAAGGGACCCGATCCATTGCGCTTGAAGGAACAAGTAGTTGTTTTGTTAAACCCTTTAGGCCTAATTATGTTATATTTATAATATGTAATTATCATATCATAATGTACACCTGGATGGTCATTCATATATGGTGGGTCTTATGAAACAACCGCCAAGATTAATTATCAGCAAGATACGAGGATCTTCGATGCTTTGTCCAGACATACATTCTGAAAGCAAATATGTTGCTTAATATCTTCGGCTTGGTTTGTTAGAATGAGACACGCCCTTTGGTTCTTCTGTCGAAACTCTAGCAGCGAGGAGCCCGAGTCAGCGTGGCAACTGCAATTTCAATACAGTTGGTTGGATCAAGAGGAGATCAAACAGCACAGGCCATGGAAGATAGGACATTGTCCAAATAGAACTACGTACTTCACAACCTCTCCTTCCAATTTCCAATGGCCAACCTGTTGCAAGTACTTGGAAAGGCTGGCCACGGAGAATTCCATACTCACGTCGACGTGGAAGCCGTTGAACACACGAAATGACAAAGATATCCTCTTTGTTTGGGTGAGCTTTCAGTTGAGACTGCGTACTTGGGGTTTTGCAGAATATAGCAGACTCACCATATGTTCATGGCACTTAAATGGTTCCCCTTGAAGGGGAAACGTTCCTGGCAGGAAGTGTTATTTGACTGGTTGCTTTATACGTAAGGCAGGCAACCCCGCCAACTTCATTGCTTTGCCAGGAGTGGTTTGAGAGACAGGGGAAGCCATAAGAATACTTTGGGAGTTATGTACTGTTTTTTTGCCTCCTCGACATTCCGAAGAGCTGATGTGAGGTAATAAAACCATATAGAACGCACATGAATAATTCCAAGAACCAGTCGATCCCACCTACCTCTCATAACAACTCTAGAAACCGCAAGAAATCCGTGTTTCATTGTAACAATGTGTTTGATTGTTTGAACCAATACATGTCTTCAGCTCTCCAGGTCCACCTCCTTTTCCTATTCTCGCGCTGCAAACGCTCCGCTCCGGCGCCATGGCGGCGCGGCTCCTAGGGCGGCCCTGGGCCGCGGCGGAGGGTCTCGGGCGCCTGCCGGGAGGATGCTGGGGCCCGGGCAGCGGTGGAGGCGTGCGCTATAACCGAGGCGTTTTCAAGGCGCGGAGGGAGGTGATGAAAGAAAGAAGGAAGAAGAGGTTTTAGAAGGAAGTTAGTTGTGTGTTTTTTAAGTTAGTTAGTGTTTTGTGAATGTTCTGGCTCGGAAGCGGGGTCTGGGAGGTGAGAAATGGTGGGAAAGGAGGGAAGGAGGAAAGGAGAGTGCTGATCTCGGTGGAGTGAACATGTGGTGGCATTTGGCTGGCTGTGACGAAAAAGTGCCCAAGAAGTAAGGCTCCCTGTTCTATCCTGTTCTTATTTCGGATCATGTTGAGTTGGAGCATTCTTGGATGAGTCAGACTGCAGGTTCGTGTTGTTTGTATCTTAGGGGAAACCTGATGTGAAGGTTTCTGGTCCACCACTCAATCATCAGCCAAGAAGATTTCTTCCATGCACTATTTCTTTGGGATGATGAACCATGCCCAAATGTACTTGGCAATGAGGCATGATGACTTGCATTTTGGATGATCGTCGGTTCTAAAGAAGACATCAACCCCAAACCAGCAGACAAACATCCAATCATCAACCATCCAACCAGAGAAAATCCCACCGTTCCTTCAATTGTTTTTCCCTCAGGCTCGCATGCGGCCACTGGAGCGCGCGGTGCTGCGCGCTTGGAGGGACGAGCAGCGGAATGTGCGAAAGTACGGCATCGCGCGCTTCAACAAGAGGCGCCTCCGGCGTGGGAGAAACTCTCCGCTCCGCGTCTTTCTTTTCTTTTTGCGGTGTTGGTGGTGTGGTGAGGCGTTTTCGCTTGGATGATAGGATAGGACATACCAGAAATCTATAGAGGATCTTTACATGTTTTTAACAACGAACAGCGTCAAGGGAGGGGCGTCGAGTCGGGATGTAAGGGACGAGTTCATAGGAGTCATTGGGTCGTTTTGACCCAGGGATGGGGGTACAAAGGATATATATATATATAAAAGCTACGTGACTTCAAACAGAACGTATCACCAGGTTTCACATTTGAAAATCTATTGGAGAGGGTTAATCAATCAAGAGTCTAGACTAGCAGTCAGGTTTGGACTCCCAGAACCCAATTTTTAGCCATTCTGGGCCATATCCCCTGCTGATTCACTTCTTTTGTATACCTGGACCATCCAAGGGGACCGAGTTCATCTTGCCGGTAAGGAAGTAATGAAAGAACCTGCCTTTGACACTTTAGGATTTAATAGGTTTAAGAACCTATCCTCGTACCTGCCATGACTTGTTCTGCAGATGACATCAGAAGACGCCTATAGCAATTGGTCGCCTCCTTTGTCGCCTCCGACCACTTCCATTCTCGCCACCTTCGCCATCTCCTCCGCAGATGGCGATCCTGGGCACAGAACCGCGTGCGGCAGTTCCGCTTCCCCTTGCCCGTGACCTTGACCGCGGAGCCTCGGCCAGAAGAATTCCGGGATGTTTGGCCGAGGAATTCGGCGCAACGGATTTTTTTGGGGCATGTGGACCCAATGGGCGGAGAAGGTGTGAAACGATGGGGTGAAGAAACAGCTCCATTTTGCGGAGGTAGGAAGGGGGGGTGATTGAGAGGTAGGAAGGTAGGGAAATTGTGAGCCCTAGAGGTACCCAAGACTCAGTGGATAAACAACCAGGTAACTCGTGGTTCCAAAGACTCAGCGTTTGCTTCGTTTTCACCTTTGATGACTCATTTGATGGGATTCACCGAGAAGACCTATTATGATCCGTATGCTTTGAGTGTGAGAAGCGGATTCGTTCTTGACCTTCCTCCGGGGCCCATCCAGTTTACACTGCCTTAAATTGAAAAGGCTTTCCTCCCATGTCGATTCACGTCGATTCATGTCGATTCATTGAACCTTTGTGTCTTCGTAAACCTCGGAATGGGCCATTCATGATCATGTTTTGGGTCGACCCCAAAAATGATCATTTTTTGTTAAAGCTTAAGGTACTATCCCTAGTGCTCCAACTAGCTCCTGAGAAGGTGGTTGGGGTGGGTTTTGGGGGTCTAGCCACCTTCTGAAGATAATATGGTTGGAGCCCTAGGGCCTAGGGTATGTATGATACTGTCAACCACCTACCCTGGTCGTTCGGCGTTGGTCGTTGCACGCGGCCAAAGGATACGAGCTTGATGGATGTGCCTTGCAGACCTTTCGAGAGTCCGGAAGATCGGTGGAAGACGGGGGGGAAGTGCCTTGTAGACCCTGGTTCAGAGACCTGACAATCACTGATTTGTAGAGGTCAATCGTCTTCCAAAGGTCATGAATTCAGGTGGTGACCCAGGTAGAGTCTTTCCGTGTGTCAAGCTGCGGAATTTGAAGAACCAACGGGGGGGGGCTGATCTCATGTTTGCCAAGAGAACTCCCACGTGCGCCGGCGAGGTTGATCTCATTCGACGTCTTTGGAACTAACAAGCAACTAACAACTTACACATACGTATACAATCATAAGTAAGACTTACAAGCAAGTTCGGTGTACCTGGCAGAGACATGCATGCATAAATAGAAAGACAGGAGGACCAGGACCGGCGGTGCAAACACCTGGGCATCCAGAAGTGAGGTTTGCTTCCAATTTTGTTGCGAGGTGCTTGGTTTTCGCGCTGTCAGAATGTATTCACTCAACCTGAGTATGTGAGTATTCTCCAGTCCCAATCTGTGGAACCTGTGCGGAGCTTGGACATTTTTGGAGGATCGTCCGTTGATTAGGCTTTCTGGGGATCTTTGATGCCTTTGGCTACGAAGAGCAAATGTCCATTTACTGTAAATCATTGGCATAGAAGCACGGATTTAGAGGGGAGACTTGAAGGAGAACCTGGCTACCTGGCGTTACCTGGCGGGGGCGAAAAGCTGCCTGCGCCTGAGGCCACATATGTGATGCGATGCGTGCAGAAGGCCGCATCCTTGCGAAAGCATGATGCGACTTGATGTCAGCTCCGCCGGACATGGGACTGGTGAATGGCCGGACATGGTGATGGGAACATGTGTGAAAGAGTTCCGTGTTAGTTGACGAAAGGCGAGTTGAGTAGTGTAATGTAATGTAATGTAGTGTAATGTAATGGATGTAATGTGTATGTGATGTATTTAGACATAGTTATATAATGATATGATATATATATTTTTTTCTGTTTCATTGTGTGGTATTGTAGTGGTGTAGTGGAGTGTAGTGTATTGTATAGTATGCATCTTGTTTTTCTCCTAGAGGGACGGTTTCTGTTGCATGACATGGGCCTTTTGCCCTGGCGATCCATGGCGATCCACGGCGAACCAGTCGACTTTCCCAGCTCCTCAACTTCCTGCTTTGACCCGTCCAGTGTTGCCTCTTGGACATTCTCAGCATGTGGAGTGGCCCTATACAGAACTTCTCCCTCTTTGACAGTGATCATGAGTGGTACTTGTATGTAGTAACAACTGGGACACATGCAGGGCCAGACACCATGAGGATCCATGAGACCTATGAATCAGACGTGTGAATTTGCGTGATGATACACGTGTAAACGAGCCAAGAATAACAAATCAAAAGCTGGAAGCAGCTGAAAGGCTTCAGAAACAAACCTGGGCCAAGCGGAATGTGGAAGTATAGCAGCTTATAACGTTTGCTGAGTGGGGACGGTTGCAAATGCCCAACACCGAGTATGTGTCCAACATGTGGGAGATTCCATCGGCACGGCGGTGAATCTCCACAACAGGTGTTCGAGGACCAATTTGCACTTTGATCCATGATGTTCTCAGCTTTGAACATAATACATGACTTGGACATTGATCAGTCCCAGCTTACTTTGGCCCCCCCCAACCCCTTCATGGCGGGGGACAAGTATGTTGCCAAGATTCATTGAAGTCAACGTGTCCAAGGATGCACTCTCCTCAAGATAAATGCTTAGAGTCTTGCCTAGTGTTTTTTCTCTATTTTGTCCTATGCCAGGACCTTCCCAGTGACCTTTTGAGATCCCAGAATGAGGTCACAAACAGGCCTTGAAAAGGTCACGTCTACCGTCTTGAAACAGGCGATTTCACGACCGGAGTCGGAGCCACCGTCTTCGGGAAGCGGTTGAGGTTGAGTGGGTGCCATCCCCCAAAACCGACCTGGTCGGTAGATGAACCATTCGGCCATTCAAAAGGCATCTCTTTTTGATTCATGGCCCTAGGGGACCTAGGTTTGGGAGGGGACCTGGCATTTGATTCATGGCCCTAGGTTCAAGTTCAAGTATGAACATACGTATTATGTACTGTATGTAGATGAAGACATAACGCCATTTCAGAGAATGTAACGTTAGTGTATTTTCAGCAAGGGAGGTGAAGCTAGAATATAATTTCAGATGGTTTTGGGAGTGTCCAGGTTCTTTCTTGACCCATTTGAGGTGAAACTTTGGTTCGGCTACTCCAAGCGTTTACTGGAGCTACGTGATGAGCTCACGGCGGAGCAGTCCCTTGGCTTCTTCGCCGTCCTTCCTTGGTGGGTGACACCTGGTCAGAAGACTCATTTGTTCTGCTTCCAGGCAGATATTCTTCTAAATGTGTTTACAATTTACTATTTATAAATATTGAGCACATACACGAGCATACAAGCTTAACTGAAAATAACTTATATATAGTTATATACATACTACACATATTGCCATACTACATTTAATTATACTATATATTATTACCAATACTACATATAACTTTTTATACATAGATATACATAGATATATGATATGCTCTATATACATATTTACGTTATACACGCACTACATTCTACCAGCCGGGAGGCTTTGGAAGGTTTGGGGGGGCTCTTCTTTTTCCGGAGCGCTGACTTTTGAAGGTTTGCCAGCCAAAACTGCTTCCAATGACAACCCCGGATGCTTTCCGGATGCACGACACTTCCGTTGGCCTTAGCGCATGTTGCGCGCTGTTCTTTTTCTCCCAGGTTGGGCTATGTCCTTTGGGGCTATGGCAAGAGCAGCTTTGTAGATGCCAACTTCTACCAGGAAACTGAAATGACTGTTTGCTCCGGCCCGACCGAAACGACTGCTTCTACTTGGGGCAGTAGAGGAACCAGAAACTGAGCCAGAAACTTGGAGCTCCAGCTGCTCATGATGCCAAAAATCGAATCCGTTCAGGCCAGGTCTTGGTTTCTTGAAATGTGGACATAAGATGTCATTGGGACACTACATAATTGGCTTCAGATGGCTAAACCTCAAGTTTTAGTCTTAGTCGTCCAGTCCTGATACCTGTTCCTTTTTTCGGTGCAAGTCACGGGTAGCGCTGACCATAACTGGATTGTATCTTCCAAAAGGGGTCTTGCCAGGTGCCCCCATCCACTTCCACGGGTGGGGTGTGAATGATGAGTGTATCCCAGTGGATCCAGGCAAATCACTTTGTGGACCCATTTAGGGACCAGTCGTTTTAAAGACCAAGCTTCACCATCCCTACACCTCCAGTCGTACCTCCTCGGAAGGTAAGACTGGACCCTCCTGGCACCCACCGCAGTCCCACCTTCTCCGAAGGTACTTGGAGGCCTAGGGCAATTGAAACCCTGGTCCCTTACTACTCGTGGGCTGCCTGGGATAAACTGGGGGTTGGGGATGTGGCTGCATCGCGTGGTTCAGGAGATGCTGCCAGTGGTGAAACTGAAGCTCCAGGGCTTTCAATCCCACGCGCTGATGTCACTCATGTGCCGTGGAAGCCAAACAAGTTCCGAGCCGAAGCGAGCCGAGCCGTTCGCTCCGTTTTTTCTCAGCCGAGCTGCATCAGGGCGGGTACTGGAACACCTGTGGAGACCGAAAGACTGTGGGGTGAGCAAAAGCCACAGGCAAAAGACCCAGACCAGGTTCACATTGGACAGAAGTGAACTGAGTGTGGTTTCAGATACTGTAATTACTGCACTTGTTTGCTTGACATGTCAACCTTCACTTGGGATACTCGAGCCCCATTGACTCATATATTACTCGTATTACTGTTCAAGTGAGTTGAAACCGCGTAGCCGTAGCCGGTGGAGTTTTGGGGGTGGGTTCTTCATTCTCGTGAACGGACTGCTGTTCTTGTTTTCCATGAGGTGGTGTTTGAAGCGCTTGAAGTGGTACGATGCGGAGCTGAACCGGCGAGCGGCCCAGCATTCCTTGGAGATCATCGAGCACTTGCGGCCCTCTGATTTCATCAAGGTTCTGGCAGTTTTCGGAGAGGAGGATTCAGGAGAGTTGTTGGCTGCTGTGATGTGTTCTTTGTATTTCTTTGTTTGTTTTCTTTGAAAGTGACGATTTAAATGCTATTGTATGTTTTTTTGGTGAATTTGTATGTGTATCGATTGCTTATGTGACTTGTTGGCTCCTTCATGACTTGCTTCATGCCAAGTTGCAGGTTTTCTCTCCATTGGCGTACGTCAATCTCGAGTTTGGTTTCCCGTGTTGAGAATCACCATGGCCACAGTCTTGCATGATATTCGGCCATGAATTGGATCTTGGCACCGCCCTTGGTCATGCACCGCTTGGTAATGCCCTTCCATCAACCCACCCAGTGGATCCCGGTAGTGGTAGGTGATGTCCCACATTCTGAAAGAAGTGACAAGTCCGGATCTCAAATTGATGTTAAACAAACTACACTTCGACCTCACTGACATGGAAGTGGACCACTTCCTGTGAAAGGAAAGGAACCTCGTCTTTCTGTTCGGACCATGAATTCCACTTCGCACGTGTTAGCACGTTTGATTCGTCAGAGCGATCAACGGCCGATGCAGATCCCTGTTTTGGGTCGCCCGACCAAGGAAGGTCACCCTCCTCCCCGTGCCTTCGGTGACCAGGTGGCCGGGTGGGTTTCGCGCGCAGGTGGCCAATGCCCTGGCTCAGCTGGGCTTGCAGGACGAACTCGACTCGGACTCGCTGGACTGGTCCCACCCGTGTTTCGTGGGACGTCACGGTTCCGTGACGTTGTATGGGTTATCGCTTGTCGCTTGGTGGATGTTTTGTTGTTTTTCTCAGGGGTTGGTTTTTATTTTCTCAGGAGTATTTGTGTTTTTTTCTTTCACTGGAAGAAGTATGTGGCCGTCGTTTTGGAAGCACGCCCCCGTTTTGGGGCCTTTCCACGATGAGACGCCGCAAAGGGTCGCAGGATGAGAAAGGGTCCGGATCTGACAGCAGGAGCCCTCAAAGGTCGAGCTCTCGTAGTAAGAGATCAGGATCCTCTGCTCGACGCGAGAAGAAGAAGGTGGCAGAGAGCAGTCGGAGGAGCCCATCTGTGACAGGAGGTTTGATCGACTTCGCTTCATTGACAGGTCCGGCTGAGCTAAGTGATAAGTGTTGAAATACATCACCTAAAGCTAAGCTTTTACGCACCATGCCAATTCTTGGCTCAAGCACGCAGCTCGTCGCGACAAAAAGGAGCGCTAGCAGTTGCAGCTTAGCGGAATTTGACTGTATTTTAGTGGTTGAGCCTGAAAATACAGGTTATCAGCCGTAGCCTCTGCCATGGCTACAGACGATGGTGTGAATGCCGCGCTCGCCCTCATCCCATACACTGGCGATGCTACACCGGTCGCTGGGGGCAACCTCGTGCCCGAAGATGTTGTCATGGGATCTGAAGGCGTTACGTCATACTTCCAGTTCATTCAGAACAACGTTCACCAGATTGCTTCAGGAAACGAGGAAGCCGTTCGCTTCGAAGCAGAGCAAAGGCATCGAGAGATCATGCAATCTACGATTCAAGCCTTAGGCTCGCAATGTAGGATTGCCATTGATCAGGCAAGGGAAGTCTGCAGCAAGCAGATCCTGGCCATGCAAGGTCGGATCAACTTGTTAGAAGGACAGCTGGCTGAGAGTCAGGCCAAGGTCGCTAGTGCAGACAGCCTACACCAAAAGAGGATGTCGGAGCAGAAGGCAGAAGCAGAGAAACTTCACATACAGAAAATGAACGAGAAGATGAAGGAGCTGGAATCTATGTTCGAAAAGATGGTAGAGGATGCATCTAACAAAGCTAGAGCACTCCTTGAAGAAGAACGTAGGCAATGCGGCAACACCAAATCATGGAGACCGAGTGGGCTGAGCAGAAAGAACGTCTTGAACAGGAATTGCGAAAGGCATCAGAAACCAACGCATTACTGCAAGACCAACTTGATGGACTGATCCCAGCGCATGAGGCTGAAGCGCCGCAACACCTGCCAGGCACGGCAACACCAGTGCTGTCCGAGCCAGCAGGCCGCGAGGCTTTGCCCCAACCGATAGAAATCGACTGGAAGGCGAGGCTAGATGCAAAATTCGCCCAGAAGCTCGGTGATTTCTATCCATCAAGAGCGACTGCAACAGCACAACTTCCCGCAGCGTTGGAGCCTGCCCAAGGTAAGGATGAACAATTTGTCGACGCTCGTGAAACGGCCGACGAACGTATGTCTCACGCTGGCGATGGAGGAGTCGACGGCAAAGTCCCGGCTCCTTCAGGCGACACCAACGCGCTGATGAGTGGTCTCGCGGAACTACTCAGAGAAATGAAGTCCAAGAAGGACGATGAAGGCAAGCCAAGGGTCAAAGAAGCCGATACGACTGCCATACCGGACATGCCCACACCCGAGACTTACCGTCAATGGAAGAATTTGGTTCGTGAGCTCGTTCGATCGTCGTCTGACAAGCCCGATGAGGCATGGGAATGGATCATGGAGGTTTGGGATCCGAAACTCTCCCGTGTCGAACTCGAGGCAAAGCTCCAAAACCCAGGAAAGTTCGTGACCTTGGACACGAAGCTCACCGCTGCTCTCACCAAGTCAGCCCGCGGCGACCTGGGAAACAGAATCCTTAACCATAAGGAAGAGCAAGCAAAGAAGGGAAATCAGACCAGAGGTCGAACAGTACTTCTCATGTTTGATGACTACTTCAAAACGTCTGAGGAGGCAGGTACTCTCTACTCACTAGAAGACCTCTTGAAGGTAGCGAAGTTCGGGGATACCATTGCAGACCTCAAGAAATTTATCAATCGTTGGGATGCCGTGTTGGCCGGCATGAAGAAGGAGCCTGAAGAAACAGTCCTTCGTGATGTTTTGCTCCGTCAAATCCGTCCCAGCACGCTACTCAAGTATGACATTGACACCTATGATCGGGCAAAGGAAGGCGATCCAAGTAAAACGTATTCGTTCCTTGTGAAAGCCATCCGGGACCTGATCGATCGAGAAAGGCTTAGGGAGAATCGAGATCGAATCGTCGACAAGAATCAACCGAAGCCGAACAATCCCAAAGACAGGGCAGGACTACCCGTGGTGCCCCCAGCCAAGAGGGAGAAGACACCCCCAAGGGGAAGAACTCCTGACAAATAGAAGATTCCATGTAGGGACTTTGTGAAAGGGAAGTGCGCAAAGGGAAAGGACTGCCCGTACCGTCATGACAAGAAGGATAGATCACCTTCAAGACAAAGGACACCTCGCGTGCCCAGTCGTGACCCGAAGAAAAAGCTCAACAAAGAGGAAATGGCAAAGACTCCATGCATCTATTTTGCACGAGGGGATTGCCGCCGTGGGGACAAGTGTCTGTACCTGCATGAAAAGAAGAGCGCAGCTGCTCCGAAGGACCCAGCTCGGCCAAATTCTCCGAAGCCCAAGAAGGAGCCAAAGCCGAAAAAGTCGGCCACTCCCTGTGTTCGATCAAGCTATGCATGCAGCGCTACTCGCCGCAAGCTCGGTTCGTATCGTAGCCCAACAAAAGAAAGGGCAGCACTTAGATGAGCCGGGTGTTTGCTAAGTAGTTACAGAGGTTATGTT